GGGTTCAATCCCGATCCTGACACCTGATGTATATTTGGAGTTTGTGTGTTTCCCCCATGGTCGCGTGCATTTTTCTCTGGGTTCTCCGGTATTTGGTTGCCACATGATAGGCCACTTCATATGAGCTATCATTTGTGGCCAGATCGCTTATGAAAAATCTCTATGTAGCTCCGTGGGCTCTTACCTGGTATAATAAAAAAAGTGTTTAAATAGTTAAAAGCCTCTCATGCATGAATTATTTAAAGCAAAACAACGTTAGTCACTGGAGCTCACCCAATTATCTTGAAAACCTTTCATGTAATGTTATAGCAGTGATGTAAATCTAAGCGGTCCACCATAGCGGGCACGATGCATGAATGGGTTAAACGGGGTTCTCAAGCGTAGCAAGATGATGGTCTCACCACGACTGCACAAAAATCGGTCAACATTAAATTTGGTCGTGCACTTCATTTTCACAAATTGCAGCTCAAGAATAAACGAAAAATATCGGTTTGTCCGCCATGGGACAAAACATACCCTTCATGGTACAGCGGGTAGATAGAAGAGAGAAGAACAGGTAAAAGGATCTCAGCCACAAGCTCTGTGATATCCACTTCCATTGGCCCTTTTCTTGCATTGCTCTGCGTTAAGTTCTTGTGAATTCTCAGTCTCACGGCATGACACAATAGCAACACATTCAATAAACAAATTCCACCCATTCTCAAACAACGTATGGATTAAGGCCTTCACCTTGCTGCTCAGCCTGGGATGATGATGATGATGGCAGGAGGGGGGGAGACAGAACCAGGTCTGATAGCACTAGGCACTGATGTTAGCAGTGCCCTGGGAATCCTACAGAGGTCACCAGGTTCATAGCGCAGCGCACTAACCACTGTCCTGTCACTCAAACCCCACCACCAACAACATCCGGATGAAATTGTGGGAAAAATACGAAAAACTGAATTATAAAAACGTAACATTTTCAGCGCGTATCCTACACACGCCGTGACGCGATCGCAGACCTCACGCGACGGGATTCGCACGCCAGCACAGAGAGCTCCCCCGCGCGCGTGAACGAGGCCTCGGCAGATCAAGGGTTAACCCCAGACGCTCACCCAGCCCGGTGCCATTCCAGGTGCCATCGCCGTCTGGCCAGAGAGGCCTCAAGAGGCACCTCCCCCCCGCCACCCCCCTTTGTACCGACGGCAGACGCGACGGCGCACTGTACGTTACACCCGGCCGACGTGAGAAAATATACACGGCCGTAGCGACCTCGCTCACAGTTTCCTCCAAACCCGGGGCTATAAATACTTTGCGCGGAGAGGGGGCGGTTATTTGGTAGGGGGGGTGGTGGTAGGGGGGGTGGTGGTGGGGGGGGTGGTGGGGGGGGGGGAGAAAAAAAAGATTTAAACAAAAAAAATCCGCCAGTTCGCTCGGCACACATTTTCCCCGCAACGCGCGGCGTACCGCGGCTGATGAGGCATTCGCGGACGACACTGGACGTCTCCTGCCCCCCCCCCCTTCCCATCCATCCCCCCCCCCCGTCCCAACCACCCCCCCCCTCCCCAGCGCGTCCCCCCAATCGATGAATGCGCCCTGGGGCGCGTGGAGCCGAGCCGGTTACCCCGGGGGGGGATCGTTCCTGCCACGTGTGCACCAGGGGACCCCCCCCCACCCCCCCACCCCCCCCGGACGCGCGTTTGAAGCCCGGTGACGAGGCTTTGAAAAGCGAAAATAATGATGATGGTGGTGCAGCAAGCATTCCCAGGAAATCGTTGAAGGCTCGTGCGCGGTAGAATGAATCACGATATCCGCACGGAATGTCAAGACTCCGACGAGCCTGTGTGGGTGGCGGATAAAAGGGATTTAAGTGAATATTAGAAATAGCAAACCGTGCAGCAATTGTTTTCAAACACATCTGTTAAATCGGTACCTACTCACATTGACTTGGTAACGGTGCACCGCTGAGATCCTGGGTTCGAATTCGTGGAGTCACCCGTGATTAAATTAGCGTCTCAAGTGGAGCGAGTTTGTCGTCTCAGCATCAGAATCTTTATTTATCCTGGAGAAATCACCACTGACTATACTTCAGCAAAAACAACAAACGCCCACCACATTAATGTCGGTTCCCCACTTCACGTGGAAAAAAAATGTCCATCTCTGAGAATTTAAATATCGGTTCGACTGCACTCTGAGTGGTACAGGGAGGTGGAAAAATACCACACACCCCCTTCTCCTGTTGTGTGCACCAGAGGGTACTGGAAGGGATCTCAGCGGTAGCTCTGTGTGACCCACTTCCGTAGGCCATTCTCCGTGGGAGATCCGCATGGAATCTCCGCCTCATGCCTTTCGATTAGAGCACACCTGGGATATTTGAGAACGTTTACAAAAAAAAAAGTTTGAAAAAAATAACTTGGCAAACAAAATGCGCATTTCATAGTAAAACAATGACGTCCCTGTATGTATTTGTAAAAACGCTCATTTAAAAGCCTAGCCACCACGCGTCATCTGACAATGAAAAACATAAATGTTACCTGGTACTCCCAAAACAAACAACTGCACACACAGCAACGTAAATTCCTCCGCTCGTACGCTTCGTGCCGCATTGGGGATTGCACCCAGCGCTGGCAACTTCCAGGGACACAGATGACCAACAATTGCGCTGGCCGGCCACCTTAGAGGGAAGGGTAAAAGCGCAGCCCTGCAATTCTTGGCTCGCACCGCTGCTGGCAGATCTCTCGATCTGAGATCACCTGGAGAGTCCCTCTAAGAGGGTGGAGCAAACCGACTAACTGTGGTGGACCCATTTATACTTCTGGATGGAGAGAGGTAAAGTTGGGGGATTAACAAACTCTCCCCCCCCCTTGTTTCAACTGGGGGAGGGGGGGGGATTTGATACATGGGGGGGAAATTATTCATTAAATCTAGGATTGAAAACTCATTGTTTTTAGAACTGCTTTTTGTGTTTAGTTTGTTGTCCTTCCACGCACCTCCGATTTGCGCGGTTGGTTACGTACGGTGTGAAATAAGTTCAACATACATACAACTGGACATCTGTGAAAAAGAGCATTATAGCTCATCGGATTCCTCCAGTAGAAATAAATATTCTGATTCTGACTTGTCGTGCGGGGAGATCGTGAGGTCGCTGGTCCTTCATGTTCTGCAGATGTAGATGCCACTGGTCCTTCATGTTCTGCAGATGTCGATGCCACTGGTCCTTCATGTTCTGCAGATGTAGATGCCACTGGTCCTTCATGTTCTGCAGATGTAGATGCCACTGGTTCTTCACGTTCTGCAGATGTAGATGCCACTGGTTCTTCTCCTTCTGCAGATGTAGGTGCCACTGGTTCTTCATGTTCTGCGGATGTAGATGCCACTGGGTCCTTCATGTTCTGCAGATGTAGATGCCACTGGTTCTTCATGTTCTGCAGATGTAGATGCCACTGGTTCTTCATGTTCTGCAGATGTAGATGCCACTGGTTCTTCATATGTTGTGCGGTGGTTGAACTTACGACTCTCGGTCCGAACAGGAGACTGGACATACGGACAGGTTTGTTCGTATCTCTGAAAGTTCGTAAGCAGAGGAGTGCACGAACGGTTCGCGTGTGACCCAGAGTTACAAGACCAAACTGCACATCTTAAGAACATGCGTGTTCAGTAGAGCTTTGTACGCCTGCGAGACTTGGGACATCAACAAATACTGCCAAGAGATACGATATGGGCACTCGGAATCAATCGCTACGGAAGGATACTGCTGCATCTAAGCTGGACCCAAAGAGTGACCAAAGCATAAGTAAGGAAAAGGTTCTACGTAGAAGAAGACGACAACCAGCTGATGATGATGATGATGGAGGCGGTGACGAGAAAGAAACTGGCACTCTTTGGACACGTGTGTATGTATGATGGGCACAAAACAGGAAGATTAAAAGCTCGTCGTCGTTCGCAAACACTTAGTGTCCTCATTCCTCCCACAAGGAGCCGGAAAGAGAGGAAAACCTCGCGGAGAAATCGCTTGACGACGACGACGTGAGAAGAGATCGGTGCCAGACAAGACGCGGCCAACGACTTGAGCCACACCGGCACAAGGCAGAGGATCGTGGAAAACAAAATGACCGAACGTGCGACGGACACCTTTAAACGGGCGATCTCCCACCCCACCCCTCCGTGGATCGTGACGAAGGCGGCCGCGACGGACGAATGCCGCGTAAATCTCATTCGAAATGTTGTGCTGCTGCTGCTGCTGTCGTCTTATCGTTGCAGTCCGCCCTCTGTCGTCAGATCTCAGAGGGCTAAGCGGGGCTAAGCCAGCGCACAGCTTTGGGACGCCGGGCTGATCGTCGGGCACGCGAGGCGAACGCTTGCCCGCTGAGAGAGCCGGAGCGGAGCAGCCGAATCCGTTCGCTGCACTGCACTCCTATGGTCCCACGCGCACGTGCGTTTTAGATAACGAAACACTCACGGATCGACACGCGCTGCAGTCCGGGGTTGTTGTTGTTGGTTTGTTCGTTCCCCCCCCGAACATATCAGGGCTCTCAGCACCAACTGGTTCTGCACTGCGATCAAACTCAGCGTCAGCCGGCACGGAATTGTGGCTTTTCGTCTTGCACGCGACGAGAGCGAGAAGATGCAACGACAATCACCGTGCCGTGGTGGCGTGTGGTGGTGGTAGTCGTGGTGGTGGTGGTGAGTGGTGGTGGCGTGTGGTGGTGGTGGTGAGTGGTGATAGCGTGTGGTGGTGGCGTGTGGTGGTGGTGGTAGTCGTGGTGGTGGTGGTGAGTGGTGGTGGCGTGTGGTGGTGGTGGTGAGTGGTGATAGCGTGTGGTGGTGGCGTGTGGTGGTGGTGGTAGTCGTGGTGGTGGTGAGTGGTGGTGGCGTGTGGTGGTGGTGGCGTGTCGTGGTGGTGGTGGTGTGTGGTGGTGGCGTGTGGTGGTGTGTGGTGGTGGTGGCGTAAGGTGGTGGTGATAGCGTGTGGTGGTGGTGCGCGCGCGCGCGAGACAGAGAGAGAGCGCGCATCGCGGTACCTGACGCGGTGCAGATGAAGCCCATTCGGCCGCGTCTCCCGGAATCCAGTTCATGGCGAGCGGGCGACGCCACCGCCGCCGCCGCCGTCTTCACGACGTTCGGCGAGAGAATTGTGCCTCTGCCAAAAAGTGGCAGCAGAGGCTGGATGGAGCAGCGACGTCGGCAGCAAACACTGTCAGTAGTGTCGAGCCACTTTTGCCGAGAAGGCAAAGACAGCTGGCAGCAGCAGTAGCAGCAGCAGTAGCAGTGGCAGCAGTAGCAGCAGCAGTAGCAGCAGTGGCTGCAGCAGCAGCAGTGGCAGTAGCAGCGGGGGCGACGGCTCAAGACGCTCAACCTACATAGCTCAGTTCGGGGCTGCCCCGCGCGGCCAGGGCGGAGGGAATCCACTTGGCCGAGATTTCACGTCCGATCCCGAGTCTCTCACTCACTCGGCGCTTCGCTGCGCTGAGCGTGCAATGAAATTCATCGCGGCGAGCGAGCGAACGGACCGGGAGAGCGGATGGTGGGGGGTGGGTTGGTGGTGGGGGTGGGTTGGTGGTGGTGGTGGGGGGGGTAGTGGTGGTGGGGGGGTGGTGGGAGGAGAGTAGGTGGATGGGTGGGATGGGAATGGGGAGGAGGAGGAGCGGATTTGAGGAGTGCGATTGGCGGTTTGCTCCTCCTGCAGCAACAACAAAAAATATCGGCAGGAGAGCGAAATGACGAGGGAATAAATAAATAAATCGCTTGGCCCACGAGGAAGAGGGAACGATCCGCCGTTCCTGGTTGCAACAACGCCCGGTGTGGTTGGGTCTCTCCGTCTCTGTCTGTCTCTCTGTGTGTCTCTGTCTCTCTCTATCTCTCTGTCTCTCTCTGTCTCTATCTCTGTGCGTCTCTCTTTGTGTGTCTCTCTCTGTATGTCTCTCTGTCTCTCTCTATCTCTCTGTCTCTGTGTGTCTCTCTCTGTCTCTCTCTGTCTCTATCTCTGTCTCTCTCTCTCTGTGTCTCTCTCTGTCTCTATCTCTGTGTCTCTCTCTCTGTCTCTCTCTGTGTGTGTCTCTCTCTCTCTGTGTCTCTCTCTCTCTCTGTGTCTCTCTCTCTCTCTCTGTGTCTCTCTCTCTGTGTCTCTCTCTCTATCTCTGTGTCTCTCTGTGTGTGTCTCTCTCTCTGTGTCTCTCTCCGTCTCTCCGTCTTGCAGCGCAAGCCGCACGCTCTGTGACCCGCCGTGGCTCAGCGCCGCCTCCCACCCCCGCCACGGCTGCTGCACCCCCACCACCCACTCAACCCCCACCACCCCACAACCCCCACCACCCCCTAAACCCCCACCATCCCCTCAACTCCCACCATCCCCTCAACCCCCACCATCCCCTCAACCCCCACCACCCCCTCAACCCTCTCAACCCCCTCAACCCCCACCACCCCCACCACCCCCTCAACCCCCACCACCCCCACCACCCCCACCATCCCCTCAACCCCCTCAACCCCCGCCACCCCCTCAACCCCCGCAACCCCCTCAACCCCCACCACCCCCACCACCCCCTCAACCCCCACCCCCCCCTCAACCCCCACCACCCCCACCACCCCCTCAACCCCCTCAACCCCCACCACCCCCACCACCCCCACCACCCCCTCAACCCCCACCATCCCCTCAACCCCCGCCACCCCCTCAACCCCCACCATCCCCTCAACCCTCACCATCCCCTCAACCACCACCACCCCCTCAACCACCACCCCACAACCCCCACCACCCCCTAAACCCCCACCATCCCCTCAACTCCCACCATCCCCTCAACCCCCACCATCCCCTCAACCCCCACCACCCCCTCAACCCTCTCAACCCCCTCAACCCCCACCACCCCCACCACCCCCTCAACCCCCACCACCCCCACCACCCCCACCATCCCCTCAACCCCCTCAACCCCCGCCACCCCCTCAACCCCCGCAACCCCCTCAACCCCCACCACCCCCACCACCCCCTCAACCCCCACCACCCCCACCACCCCCACCACCCCCTCAACCCCCTCAACCCCCACCACCCCCACCACCCCCACCACCCCCTCAACCCCCACCATCCCCTCAACCCCCGCCACCCCCTCAACCCCCACCATCCCCTCAACCCTCACCATCCCCTCAACCACCACCACCCCCTCAACCACCACCCCCTCAACCCCCACCACCCCCTCAACCCCCACCATCCCCTCAACCCCACCACCCCCACAACCACCACCCCCTCAACCACCACCCCCTCAACCCCCACCACCCCCTCAACCCCCGACACCCCCTCAACCCCCACCACCCCCTCAACCCCCGCCACCCACACAACCCCCGCCACCCCCTCAACCACCAAGGGAGGATCCCCTCCGCGCATGGAAGCCCCTGGACAAGTCTGTTTGGGGGGGGGGGGGCACGTGCTGTGCGAGCGAGTCGCGCCGATGAAGGGCCCGGCACTGTGGCAGACCGGTGGGGTGGGTGGCCAGCACCACGCGCGCCCGGCCGCCTTTGTCTCCCCGGTGGCGATGTTTACCGCACGCCGCACCAGGTGCTCGTGTCCGAGGCTGTTAGTCGACCCTAGAGGCACCGGTTTCGGGTGATCGTCACTAGCGCCAGTGACCGGTGGGCGGGAATCCAAGGAGCCGTCCATAAATGACGTCACGCGATTTTGGAGGATTTTTGACCCCCCCCGTCGTCACACGGCGTCACAAAAAGTTAGCCCCCCCCTCAAATATGACGTCACAAAGCTCTGCCCCCCACCCCCCTAAAAAAATAAAACGTGCTTCAAATCGCTTTAAACTATTGTCATTGTAGTGCGTATTTAATGTGGCGCTGCACTCTGATCTTGTGGGAGAAAACATTTATTAAAAAGTCTATTTCATGAAGTAGAACGTGTTGTCTATATTTATTTAAAGTTGCGCATTTTGATGTGACGTCACATTTCTCAAACCCCCACCCCCCACCTCGTCACACATCGTCACAAATGTCTGTCCCCCCCCCCCTCCCCCAGGTGCGTGACGTCATTTATGGACGGCCCCCAACTCGGGCCGCCGGGTTCGTAGCCCGGCGAACTGGCCACGACACCACCACCGCATCCAAAGCGAACACCCCTGCCAGTGCGGGGCCACTTGGTTTGGCCCGGCACGTGCTCGCGGGAGGGAGTCGGCATGAATCATGCTGATGCCCGGTTCGTGTGGTCGGGGTGAGTCGAGTGGGTGGGAGGGGTGAGTCGAGTGGGTGGGAGGGGCGAGTCGAGTGGGTGGGAGGGGTGAGTCGAGTGGGTGGGAGGGGTGAGTCGAGTGGGTGGGAGGGGTGAGTCGAGTGGGTGGGAGGGGTGAGTCGAGTGGGTGGGAGGGGCGAGTCGAGTGGGTGGAGGGGCGAGTCGAGTGGGTGGGAGGGGCGAGTCGAGTGGGTGGGAGGGGCGAGTCGAGTGGGTGGAGGGGCGAGTCGAGTGGGTGGAGGGGTGAGTCGAGTGGGTGGAGGGGTGAGTCGAGTGGGTGGAGGGGCGAGTCGAGTGGGTGGGAGGGGTGAGTCGAGTGGGTGGGAGGGGTGAGTCGAGTGGGTGGGAGGGGTGAGTCGAGTGGGTGGGAGGGGTGAGTCGAGTGGGTGGGAGGGGCGAGTCGAGTGGGTGGAGGGGCGAGTCGAGTGGGTGGGAGGGGCGAGTCGAGTGGGTGGGAGGGGCGAGTCGAGTGGGTGGAGGGGCGAGTCGAGTGGGTGGAGGGGTGAGTTGAGTTGGTGGAGGGGTGAGTCGAGTGGGTGGAGGGGCGAGTCGAGTGGGTGGGAGGGGCGAGTCGAGTGGGTGGGCGGGGCGAGTCGAGTGGGTGGGGCGAGTCGAGTGGGTGGGGCGAGTCGAGTGGGTGGAGGGGTGAGTCGAGTGGGTGGAGGGGTGGGGTGGGAGGGGAGCGTCAAGTGGGTGGAGGGGTGAGTCGAGTGGGTGGCAGGGGTGAGTCGAGTGGGTGGAGGGGTGAGTCGAGTGGGTGGGAGGGGCGAGTCGAGTGGGTGGAGGGGTGGGGTGGGAGGGGCGAGTCGAGTGGGTGGAGGGGTGAGTCGAGTGGGTGGAGGGGCGAGTCGAGTGGGTGGAGGGGTGAGTCGAGTGGGTGGAGGGGTGGGGTGGGAGGGGCGAGTCGAGTGGGTGGAGGGGTGAGTCGAGTGGGTGGAGGGGTGAGGTGGGAGGGGCGAGTCGAGTGGGTGGAGGGGTGGGGGTGGGAGGGGCGAGTCGAGTAGGTGGGAGGGGCGAGTCGAGTGGGTGGGAGGGGCGAGTCGAGTGGGTGGGAGGGGCGAGTCGAGTGGGTGGGAGGGGCGAGTCGAGTGGGTGGAGGGGTGGGGGTGGGAGGGGCGAGTCGAGTGGGTGGGAGGGGCGAGTCGAGTGGGTGGGAGGGGCGAGTCGAGCGGGTGGGAGGGGCGAGTCGAGTGGGTGGGAGGGGCGAGTCGAGTGGGTGGGAGGGGCGAGTCGAGTGGGTGGGAGGGGCGAGTCGAGTGGGTGGGAGGGGCGAGTCGAGTGGGTGGGAGGGGCGAGTCGAGTGGGTGGGAGGGGCGAGTCGAGTGGGTGGGAGGGGTGAGTCGAGTGGGTGGAAGAGGCGAGTCGAGTGGGGGTGGAGGGGTGAGTCGAATGGGTGGAGGGGCGAGTCGAGTGGGTGGAGGGGTGAGTCGAGTGGGTGGAAGGGTGGGGTGGGAAGGGCGAGTCGAGTGGGTGGAGGGGTGAGTCGAGTGGGTGGAGGGGTGAGTCGAGTGGGTGGAGGGGTGAGTCGAGTGGGTGGAGGGGTGAGTCGAGTGGGTGGAGGGGCGAGTCGAGTGGGTGGGAGGGGCGAGTCGAGTGGGTGGGAGGGGCGAGTCGAGTGGGTGGGAGGAGCGAGTCGAGTGGGTGGGAGGGGCGAGTCGAGTGGGTGGGAGGGGCGAGTCGAGTGGGTGGGAGGGGTGAGTCCCGACTCACGCCTCACGGCTCACGAGCGGACCCCCATAGAGGTGCCTGTGTCTGGCGTGCGTTAAGCGGCCTCGTTACCTGACAAAGTCATTGGGTTTGTAGACACGTGCTGGGTAGGAATGCGACGCACATAACTTGTTCACGTGTGCTTCATCGTTACCCCTGCAATGGCGATAAACTATTTAAGCGAAACTTTATTTAATGTTACCAGGCAAGGCCCACTGAGCAACATTACTCTTTTTAAGAAGCGACGATGCCGCAACTGATAGCTCATTCGAAGTGGCAGTCAAATACTCCACAATGCGTGATGTTGATTCTTAACGTGGAGGGGGAAAAACCGGAGGACACGCAGAAAAGTCCACGCGACCACGTAGAGAGAGACAGCAAACTCCAAATATACCACAGCAGGGGTTCAGGGGTCGGGATCGAACCCACGACCTCCTGAATACCCGGCGAGGTAGTTAACATCTCCTCGCCACCGTGATGATGAGAGAGAGACACACAGCAAACTCCTAATAGACAACAGGCATCAGGGTCGAGATCGAACCCATGACCTCCTGAATACCCGGTGAGGTAGTTCACATCTCTTAGCCACCGTGATGATGAGAGAGAGAGACACAGCA